ATCTCGGCTGTACGATGGGCTCCCGCCCCAGCCCCCGCGGGGCCGCTCCCGCCCCGCCCGCCTGGGCCGGCTCTGGGCCGGCGGAAGGAACTCGCACGCGTCCCGGCGGCAGAGGAAGGAGCGGGCCCCGCAGGCACCGCCCCGAGGCCGCTCGCCCGTCCCACGCCCCGACCAGGCCCGAGCCGCCTCCCCAGCGAGCGCCCGCCGCGGCCCAGCGGCCCCGGCCGCCCTCCGCCCAGCAGGCGGCCGAGGCGCCACCGCCGCGTACCCCCCGGGCCCCCCCCGTGCCCCCGCACCCCGGCGGGTCTCACCCTTCGCTGCGCAGCGGGATCGGCGGGATCGGGGGGTGGCGGGGGGCGCTGGGCCGGCCGAGGCCCCGCTAGGCCGCGAACACACCGCGCTCAGCCGCTGCCGCCGCGCCGCGCGCCGTCATGTGACCCGCCCCTTCCGCCACCGGCCCGGCATGCACCGCGCCGCGCCACCACAGAGGCGGCGGTGCCAGAGCGCCCTCCCGCGCGGCTGGGCTGTAACGCGGCCGACCATAGAGCGGCGAGGGATAGAGGGGCAGCGGGGAGGGGAAGGGCGGGCGGACCGCCGCCATCTTTGGTGCGGGCAGGCGGAGCGGGGCCGTGATCCGGCCCCGAGTCCGCCATGTTGAGGTCAGGCGGCCCCGCTCGGGGCTGGGGCGGCTGGAGGCCCTGGAAAGCCTCGGGAAAGCCGCCGGAAAGCCGCCGGCTGTGGGTGTCACCGGCTCCACGCCTTCCTGGCAGTCCTCATGGACCACTCGGCCAAGCTCTCGGGCCAGGCCGAGCTACGACCCGGTCGTGACGGGCTGCACCACAGGCACAGCCGCGTGGTAAATACTCCTTTTGCTTTTAGCAGGCTGTTAATAAGGAGAGAACACGTATTTTAGCCATGTTCCGCAAATTTTAAGGGCCTAAAAAGCTACAACGAAAAGAAGTCTTGCAGCCAGTAGATGTAAAGATACGGAACCACAGAATAGCTTGGGTTGAAAAGGACCATAAAGGTCATTTAGTCCAACCCCCCTGCAATGAGCAGGGACATTTTCAACTAGATCACGTTGCTCAGAGCCCCATCCCAATCTGACCTTGAATGTTTCCAGGGATGGGCTATCCACCACCTCTCTGGGCAACCATCTCTGCCTCACTATCATTGTGAAAATCATCTTCCTTGTAGCTAGTCTAAAGGTACCCTCCCTTAAAACCATTGTCCTGTTGCTTAAAAAGCTGTTTTTGCTAAAAAGCGAGTCCCCATCTTTTTTGCACTCTTTAGGTACTGGAAGGCTGCAGTAACTTTTCCCTGGACCCCTCTCTTCTCCAGGGTGAACAGTGCCAGTTTTCTTAGCCTTTCTTCATAGAAGAAGTGCTCCAGCCCTCTGATCAGCCCTCTCCTGGACTTGCTCCAACGGGTGAATGTCTTTCCTGTACTGGGGACCCCAGAGCTGGATGGAAAACTGCAGGTGGGGCCAGAGCAGAGCCGAGGGGCAGAACCCCCTCCCTCAGCCTGCTGGCCATGCTGCTTTTGATGCAGCTCAGGATATCGTTGGCTTTCATGGAAGGCTCTATCTGCTGAAAAAACCTAAGGATTTACAGAGCAAGAGCAGCAAACACTAGTGTCTTAGGCAGCTGTAAGCTCATCAGAAAGATGTCACTGTGCTGTTGGGCCTAGCCATGGTCTACAACTGTTGGTTTCCCTCACCTACTTCCACCGTTTAGACTACAATAAAAGACAATTTAAAATATACAATTTCCCACAACATTACATGTGAGACAGTAATTGCTGGAGTCACTGGAGTAATTGCCAGTGATGGCAAGATTTGCAAATGGAAAGAGGAAGTGACTGTGAACGAAAGGAAGGCTATCTCACAGATGATTATGAGGTAGACCACAAAATAAACATACGTGAATGAAGTTGTTTAAAAAAAATCTGTATTATGTTTTCCCCTGTTTAAGGAAAAGTGCTCAAAAGAGTAGAGTTGAATGACAAAATTTCTTCCACCTGTAATGGCAAGAAAAACATTTGAAGCAGACTGACTTCTTCAGTGCAAAGCAGATTAAAACTATCTGGCTGATGTCATATATGCTACTGAACAGTCAACAACTGAGCTGGAACAAAGGTCCTGTTCATCGCCTTGCTTTACAAGATGATGATGTGTAAGGGTAAATATTTTAGCAGTAGCGTATTTAAGAAATACCTCAAGTTTGAATGTAATTCCTTCTCCCAATCAGAAACAGCCTTTTTACTTTTTATTAATTACAGCTTATTCCAAGCAGCCTTCATATTTCCCTTTAACTAACACAAATTTTGTTTAGCCAAATAGCCTCCAGTATCCTTCCTAATCAAGGAAGAAAGCATCAGAAGTACTCAGCAAACACAGCTACTTTCACATCTTTCCACTTTCTGCTATAAAATTTTAGAATTACCTACCACTAAACCTATCCTGTTATCTTTTTACCCTTCAGTTATGCAACTGAGATCCCTTTCAGAGACTGACCGCACTTCACTTTATTCAGTTCCTTGCTGCAAACTCCAGAGTTTCGTGCTCAAGCCAATCAAGAAGAGTGCAGTAGATGGCTTTTAGTATTAAGGCCAAAATCAAAAGAGATGGGTTTTATGTCTGCAAATTGTTTTGCATTTCAAGCATCAGAGATCATCCTGAACGTGTTAGGCACTTCAGGGTACAGAGGTCATATTGTTTCTAGACTATGCATTTTAAACACTTTATATATATATATATATATATATATGCCTTTCAACATTGTAAATGTTTTCTGGTTATGGTTCACAGTTCCAGAATTGTGTGTGGAAAGGATCTGCCACAGTGGTGAAGGACAGTGTCTTCATAACACTGTGACCAGTGATTGGATCCTGCATCCTTATTGCCTATCTGCTTTAACCAGTGCAGGTTTCTCTCTCTTCAGCATATGCCACGTTACTCTAATGGAAATCAGTAAAATTTGTTTTCAAGGAACAGATGGAGTTGATTTTTGACATATAACAAAACCAAATCTATGGTTATAAGGAGGGCAATTAAAAAGAGAAATTAAATCTACTCTTCCTATTCCAGGAGGAGCAGTGCTGCAGTTTTACTAAGACAGAGAAGTAGGAAACAGTGGGCAATGAAGGTTTAGGCTTTATGCAGAAAGTAATAACTACTTTGTACATTTTGTAATATTTTCAACAGAGTAGCCTTCAGGTGTACTTTTTTAACACACAAAATCAACAATCACATTCTCCTTTTCTTCCTCATACCCTTTAATAACTCCCTCAATCACATTAACAGTTTAAATAGAGCCACTTAGAGGAGTATCCCTTAGATGCCAAACTCAGTGATTGCATTCCTCGGCTCCTTGTGAATAGCACTGGGAGATTAAAAAGTTTCTATCTCATATGTATTCATTATATACACTTTTTAGAATTTTTTTCACTCCAAAGACATTTAGTTCAGCAAAATTTTATTCGATAGATGTCAGTCTATTTAGTTAATCTTTTTGTTTACATTTTTATGCATAATACTGAGTGAAAATACATTATCATAACAGTATGGAAGAGAACAGGGAAGAGAGTTACTGTGCCAACCTTCATTCATTCACTCATCATCACTCAACTGCACAGGAGAGAAATCATATAGATGCCTACACAAATATATATAGTAGAATCTAGTAGAAAAAAAGTACTTAGAGCATGGTGCTTATATGGTTGTGCCAAGTTTGTGGGTTTGGTCCTTGTATGGGCCAGAGTTGGACTCGATAGTTCTGGGTCCCTTCCAACTCAGAATATTCTGTGAATATTCTGTGATACTTAAGCAATACACTTGAATTCTGAGAGGGTCTCAGTCACTCCTACTGTTAGGAACTTCACCAATGCCTCATTTTTGTGGTAATTGGACCTGCTGACTCAGTTTAGTGAAATGATAGTAGTTCAACTTAGAAAAGGTAAACTTGCAACCACTGCCTTCTACATGGATATCCAGTTATGTAATTTGGCTCCCTCTTGAAATTATTTGTCTATAACCAAAGCAGGGGACCAAAGAAGGGGCACTTTATAGCTGCCTGTCAGTGGTTATCAACGTGTAAAGTCCACTGAAGGGAAACAGGGCATATCCTTCCTGTGGTGAGGTAACCATTAGCATTCGATCCAAGCATCCAGCCAAAAACTCCTGCTCCTTTAGAAGAGAAATTCCCTGTGTACTGGCTATGCTACAACAAAAATACTGTTGCATATTATCTAAATCATATACTTTTGTATACATGTACAGCCTATGAAAAAATAATTCATCATTTCCTTGTAGAACCGTACCTGTTCCAGCCAGTACCATGAGCCAAAAGCTCGCTGGAGCTATTACTGGCCATGGTTATTTTCTCACCATGCAGTTCTATTGACCATTTTTGTCTGGCATCCACAACCCATTCCCACAGCTCTAGTTTGTGACTGTGAATCTGCCATTTTTTGGCAGGTGTGTGCCTGTATTTCAGATGTCCATTCCCTTTCAGCTAAATAAATGGCAGCACTTCACCCACTGGTTGAGGCTACTGTCACGAAAAAATATAAAAAAAGGTCACAATGTCAGTGTCCGGTGGCTCTCCTTGTCGAGACTTCGTTTAAACCCATGAGAGCCAAGTGGACACCGTGATCCATTCATCTGCCAAACCTGGACGCCTTGTTGCTCTCCCGGCAGTGGGAGGAAACAGCTTCGCTCTCAGACCCCGCGGGGGCTATTTACTCTCCTCCGGCGCAGCTTCTCGGGGGACCCAGACAGGTGCGAGGCGGGGATGGAGAACGAAACGAGGGAGCAGAAAACCCCGGGGCCATGGCAAGGGTCTGGGGTACCGCCTGCCCGCCGAGGGCACTGCAGCGACCGCGCCGGCGGCGAGGCCGGGGCGGTGCGGCCCCCCGACTACAGCTCCCGGCGTGCCAGCGCCGCCCCGCCCCTGCCGCCGCCTTCCTGTCTCCGCGGTGAGAAAATAACCCCGGAGTTCCCCGCGATCAGCTGATCCCGGCTGACAACGAGGGGAGCAGGCGGAGGGTCGCGGGTCTTACCCGGCCCTGCCCTGCTCAGCCCCCCCGGGCGCCCCGACTGCATGGTCGGCCCCTGGGGGAGGAGAACCGGGACACCCCCCCGGGCGCGGAGGGGACGGGGGGGAGGAGGAAGCGGCGGCCGGGACCGAGTCCTTAGTCACCGGGTGCCGGCGGGAGGAAGGGGAAGAAAGGTGGCCGCCGGCTTGTAAACAATAGCCCGGCTCGCGGCGCCCCGTGCCGCGCCGCCTTTGTTCGCGGCCCCGCCGCGGCTCCCCGCCCGCTGCCGCCGCTCGGCGGGAGGGACGCGGGGGCTCCCTCGCCGTGCCCGGCCGGCGCGGCGCCCAGCGCAGCCCAGGTAGGCGCGGGCGGGGGGAGGCGCCGGCCGGCACCGCCGTTACGTAACCGCGGGCGGGTCGCGGGGTCCGCCCGGCGCCCCTGGGGGCGGCCGAGCCACAAGTGCGGCCGCGGCGGGGCAGCGCCCGCCCGGCACCGGGGCCGCGGGGCCGGCCGGCAGAGGGGGCGCGGGGAGTCATGCTGGAGCCAGCGGCGTCCGCGCTGGCTGCAGGACGGGAGGCGGCCCAGGGCCGGTGCCCCGCGCGGCCCGGAGGCAGCAGGTCGAGACAAAGGCGGCGGCGGGCTGCGCAGGCTGCCCTCGGCGGGCGCGGGGCTCGGGGCTCTGCTCCGCCAGCTTGGGGCTCTGAGGAAGAGGGAGAAAATCCTCGTCTGACAGCCTGGCCGCGGTAGCGATCGTCTTCCAGCGTTACTAGAAGGAGCGCACGAATAGAGCGGATTTTTGTTTTATCTGGCGAAGCACATCAGGAAATTCCCAGCAAATAAATACTGTGAACTCTCTGAAGGAGGAGCTTAGCTGTGGAGTGAAAGCAGAGAATTTTCTAGTCTTGACACGGTCCTTTTGTGTGTGTGTGTGTACATGTATATGGACTTGTGTGTTTCTGATGCCTTTTTTGTCTCTGTCAGCAGCTGTCTCCCTTCGATCTCTGCTTCAGGGAAATACTTGCTGTACCTGCTGAAGTACACCAGGCTGGGTTTTTTTTCCTCATCGCTGAAAGTACGTTAGGCAGCTAAGCAGAGAAAGAATGTACACTGGCGTTTGGGTATGGTAATACATGAAACCAGCCACACTGTTTAAGTTTATTTTGGAGAAAGAAAACGTCATTAACACTTAAAAAGACTCTTCCTGTGAGGCAGGTCAGTGTATGAGTCTTAGATAAATATATATGTTAATTATTTAAAATTAAGTACAGACAACACTTGTGTTGTGTTTCTTTCCTTTGTGAAAATACTAAATTTGTAACTGACTTTTACACATATTGTTTGAAACAGAAACAGGAGGAAAAAACATTGCTTTAAAGAAATCTGAAGATGAGTGCCCACACACAAACTGCAGAGAAAGGACAAAACACGACACTCCTGTGCCAAGAAAGCTATGTTTGCAGTGGGACAGATGAAGCAATCTTTGAGTGTGATGAGTGCAGGAGCCTGCAGTGCCAGCGTTGTGAAGAAGAGCTGCATCAGCCAGAAAGGTTACGGAACCACGAACGGACCCGTATAAGACCCGGCCATGTCCCGTACTGTGACTCCTGCAAAGGTGCCAATGGGAACATAATGCATGCCAGTATGATGGGCTCGAGGCAGATAGCAGCAGTGAGATGCCAGGTGTGCAAAATCAACCTCTGTGTGGAGTGTCAGAAGAGAACACATGCTGGGGGGAACAGAAGGAAGCACCCTGTCACTGTGTACCATGCTGGCAAAGCCCAAGAACAGGAAGAGGAGGAGGGAATGGATGAGGAGACCAAGAGAAGGAAGATGACAGAGAAAGTAGTGAGTTTCCTCTTGGTGGATGAAACTGAGGAGATTCAGGTAAGAACTGTAGTTTGAACAGGCAAGATCCTTTAGTTTCTATCTTAATCTAACAGGCTGCTGTGATGCATGGTTAGTATGTGAAGTGTAATTGGCAGCAGTGGTAGCAAAACAATGGCCAGTTAAGTGCCTTGGAGCATCTTGGGCTAAGAAGACACAGCACCTTGGAGTGAGTGGCATTGCTCATGAGTTCCTCAAAAGGTCAAGTTCGTTAAAACCTTACGTGTGGCAAGAGCCTCCTCTAAGAGGCTTGGTAAGCAAAGCTGGTGGAAGAATTGACTGTACTGACACACACACACAAACAATTAAGATAAGAGCTGTCTGTGCAGGATGCTGATCATTCCTGAACAGAATTGTGTGGACAGTATGGCAGTATATCCTGCAAATGGGAGTGCTGGCAGCCAATCTCATACCATACGACTAGAGTAGGGCACTGTAACAAGCAGTTCTGATTCAAGACTAAAGCCCCTTGCTGCCATCCTTCAGCATGAGTAAATTTATCTGATTTTTAGAAATAGGACAAAGTAGAAATAAGTGTCCCAAGTGTGCCATCCAAGCGCTACAGACACCATGGTTAAGCTATACTGCTTGTCACAAATACTGTTACATGTTAGCCTTTTGGTGAAAGAGGGAGAAATTGCCAGCAATTTGGGGTAGGCCCACTGATAAAAATGATAGAAACTATTTGACTAGGAACAGCTGCTCATGAGGCACTATCTAGAGTTCAATATATGCAGTTAAAGAACTCTTCTGTTGGCCCTTACATTTGGTGAGCATAAGCACTTTACAAGGTAAAAATAACTTATAAATATAAAAGCAGCAATGTGTGAAAGTCATGGAGCAGGTTAATTACCCAAGTAAAAATTCAGCTTTGTCTTCTGGCTTCCAGTTTGCATTTTTTTACATTACACCTTGTTCAGGAGACACTGAAAGAAAATGTGTAGTCACCTGAAAACTCAATATCTGGTTACTCTAATTTAACATATTCATGCTAACATCAGTAAAAAGAATTGTGATAATATTGTGATTGTTGGTATTGTTGTTATTTGTATCCATTTTAGTCAATGTACCAATCATGAATTGCAAGGAAATATGACTTAAATATCTCACAGCTATTCTATACTATAGAATAGTGTGTGTGTATGTGTATATATATATGTACACAGTAATTATACCATAGTACAGAGTAGTTGCAAAATACTTGGGTCACGTTTTTTGTCCATTCAAGTGTACTGATTGCATATGGCTTTTGAAGGGGAAAGGGAAGAAAGGATGGCAGTCCTTGTGGTGCACTGACATAGAAAACACACTTTGAGGGACACCAGTGATTGTGATCTGAGTTCTTGAGTTTTAAGTGTAGCAGCAGTCCTAAGTTTGTGTATCTCTGAGCAAACACACATTTCCTTGTAATACGAGACAGATGCAACTATTGCTCTTAAGATGCAGACTTTTCAATAATCCTCATCTAGCCACTAGAGCAAGCTCTGAAATGCCTTGGAACAGGGCTGTCTTGGAAAGCTGCTCACAAACTGTGACAACTGTGGTTGTACCGGTTTAAGTTATATTTACACTTATGAATCTGTAAGCCTTATTGAGGTAGACCTTTGGCTGCCTCTTGCAAGCAAGTGCATTTGCTATTTAAATGTCATGGGCAATAAAGCCAACTTCCTTATATGGACAGCAGTGGTCCTTTATCAGATCATAGCAGGGTTTGGTTGAAAAAACCCTCCAAAAATGATCTTGTATTGCTATAAAGATGTTGAATCTGAGCTGTTCCATCTGGTGTTATCATCTTTTCCTCACAGCTGAATACTTATGTGACATCTCACAGCCAGTGTCAAAGCAGTTTGAGAGTTTTCAATTAAAATATTTTCTGGCAGCTGGAATTTGGAGAGTGCTTGCTATTATAGTAATGTTTCTGCTAGTGAGCATGAGGATCTTTATTTAGAGAGGCTTGTCAGATGACTAGCTAGCTTTGAAGACATCTTGTGTGGCATCTTTTGCTCTTGATAACATTGATCAACCAACTTACCTATACATATATATATACACACATATGCAACTTATTTTGTGCTTGTCATTACTTGAGGAGAAATCATTAGAATATACTTTATTTAAACCAACTTTTTGTCCAAAAATGCCAAAATATTAATAACTTGAAATGTGGAGGTTCAGTGTTTGAGGGTGTGTGTCTCTTTAAACTTGAGTAGAAAAATAACTAGACTCCATAATTCTGATAAATCCTTATCTTTAACTGTCTGTTTAATGACCTTTGGAACTTAACAATTGTTGCGTTAGTTAGGAAATAAGAGAGGAAAGTGCTGATTTGCTATCAGTGTTAGATTCTGCCATAGCAATGTTAAAAGCTACTAAAAAATACAAAATTAGGCAGAACTAGTTATGCTGCTGAACAAACATGATGGATTGAGATAATCACAGATATATACTTGTTTACAAACCTCTAACTTGAAAATGATTCAGTGAGATGGGGACACAAGGCCAAAAGATTTCTTTCTTAGTTTTCTTTGGAACTTGGAGTTGTTAAGCTCAAGCAGTTATGTTTCACCTGACTGTTCCTGTTGGCTTCTTGGAGGTGGTAACTCTGAAACCAAAGAATATTTATAGCATGTAAGCAAATGCCTGATCTGGTTCTAGATCCAGAAACACAGTGGATTAATCCATAAGGAGCTGTACCTGAGCAAATTCATTTAGCTGAGAGGTGGGAATTCTGAGCTTGGGCTCAGCACTACACTGATAGAGCTGTGATAATTCTGAGATCTGCATAACTGTCTTTGTGCCATGTTGCACAGATGTGCTGGCCTGCTCAAAGCTTTTTGTGCTTTTCAGACATAACTATAAGCTCAGAAAGCTGAGGACTTCTTGTGCTTGTTCAAATCCATTTACTTCAGGAAAGGTCCCATTTTAGACCACCACTTGTTTGTAGAGAACTGATGGTAGCTAAAGTTTATATCTGTGAAAAACATACTTCTCTATCGTGTTCATCATAACAGCTCTATATCTGAGCACCTCAAAAAGAAGCTGGCTATCTCATGCTAAGAAAATGCTGCTAGATGTTAAATCCAAGTTCTCACTGCAAGTCTGTGGAAGAACAGAGAGAGAGGTTGTTCCTCATGGAGTCCTGCCCCAGCTGTCTCACACACCACACAGTGCAATGCTTTGTGACTCCTGTGAGTTAGACCCCGGTCATCTTGACATACATGATCAATTTTTTCTTTATTCTTACAGGATTTGTTGCCCCTCGTAAGACCCTATTGACTTCTATCAGAAAACAAATCTTAACTGTTTTACAAATTGGCATCACCTGCAGTTTAGACCCTATTCTAGGTGTTTTTTCTCAAGCTGTATTATGCAGTTTCTCTTTATACAGTATTAAACTTTTGGCCTTATCTATCGCCTATCGAAAGTTGAGGCTTCAATCAAGTTGTTCTTGATAACTGCAGCATCTGTTTGTTAATGGGCTTTGACATAGTCTATCTTCTTTGCTCATCTCTACTGAGAATGATATTGTGGGGATTACTTCCTTAGTCAATTGCTTTGGTATTGTCGCTGCTGTCCTTACATCTTCCACGTCTCCTCTTTACCTTGTTAGACTCAAACTGTGTGCCTTCTTTTTTTATGTTTGTAAATCCCCCAACTGAATCTCCTGATCTGCTCTGTCAAGGTGTCACCTTTTCTTTCTACTCTCTAACTTGCTGGATTCTCAAACAAGCGTTCTTGTACTGTCACTATTTTGCTACCCCTTGCACACAAGAGGCACTTCTCTTAAGAACTCATGGAATCAATTAACTGATATTTTTTAAAAATTCCCCTGCATTTGTGGATCCATTAGGAAAACACAGTGAAGTACAACAATAAAAACATGACTCACGTTAGGATATTTGTTTTAAGTGCTGCAACTGTCTCACTGTCCCATGTCACCTGCATCTGTCTTTGTCTCTTCTACTTAAGTTTATGCAGTTTCTGAACAGTATCTGTTTTTGCTTTGCGTTTATACAACACACTTGCAATAGAGCTCTTTAGCATAAAGCAGGGAGTTCTGTATCCTTTGTACAATGAACTGTATTTACTACTACTTCTGAGGCAGGGGAGAAGTGCTTAACAATGCATAACAACAACTTGATATTTTTATCTTGGGGAACAGATGTTGGCAGTTCTTACCACAGGATCAGAACTTAGTTGTACTGTCACTAGTGGCTTCTACGATAACACTTTTTCCAAAGCCCTAATTAAGGACTCGGCCCATACACTTAATAGAAGTAGAGAAAGTCTTTCATCTATCCCAGAAGATAGGGGAGGACATGTGTGGTTTTTAGTAATCTACCTTAGAGTTTACACATCTTTAACCAGAAACTAACTCTGTCAGAAGAAATAACCTAATCTATGGGTTTCAACAAAAAATAAAAGGTACTGACTTTGTAGCCTGACCTGCTAAGGAGATGAGAAGAAAAGATAGTTTTTCTTCTAGCTAGTCACAAAAATATTCCCAGCAGTGTAATCTTATGTGGGAGAAAGGAGTGTACATTTATTACTGTCTCTCCCCTGAGCTCCCTTTCTTCAATTTGCAGAGTCTTTTTCATATGCCAATAGGTATCTCAATTTCCTAAATCCAGCCCCATTCCTTGAGTTCTTTTTATTCCTTCTAGTAGGGTTAGACACCTAAAGGATTAAGCTCTTCCCCTCAGCAAATACAGAGCAGGATCTATACAATGCTTTTCAGTGAGTTAAGATCACACAAAAGGACCTGTAGCCCTTATTTAAATGCAGACTATTTTATACAATCATTAAATAACTGGCTGCTAACAGCACAATAGTTCGTGTGTCCTCCTTTGTCCCTTCTTGTTAAAAAGTTACACATACATGGTAATAATTTTAGGGATGCTAGCTGCTTTGCTTTTCTCACTCCCACTGTAAACGTGATGAAAGTACCGTGATTTTTTTCCTTATTACCTATTGACTTGAGCCTGGCTAAAGTCTAGGGA